TAAGAGCCCGGATTTAAACCCAATTGAAAACGTTTGGGGTCAATTGGCGTGGAAAGTTTACGAGAATGGCCGTCAATTTTCTACTGTGGACGAACTCAAGGCTCAAATTCGTGTTTCCTGGGATCAAATCAGCCAAGCCTATTTGCGTAAGCTTGTTGATGGAATGCCAACTAGGATGGCCCAAGTAGTGTTGAGAAACGGTAATGCAATTGATAAATAACTGCTCTGAAAAAAGTGCGTCTATAATTTGCATCACCCTGAAAAATGGTTTTTTGTAAATTTCAAAAATAGTACTTCGAATTTTAAAGTTTTGTCACCAACAATGTATTTCGAAACTTAAATAAAGTATCATATCAAATCAGTGAGCTTCAAATCGAAATAAGTTTTGAGAAATGTCAAAAATTCACGTGCGTCTATAGTTTACATCAGGACTGTATGGTCATGTCGATTCGAAATTCGAGATGGGTGCTCAAAATCGAATGAGTAGAATGACCAAATCGGCAGACAATCGATATACGACCAATCAAAACCCAGATCACTAATCAAGTAGCCAATCAAACCTACTTTAAACCGACGAATTCCACACATGTGAATGAAATTAGTGTGACACGGGACGATTTTTTCTTACAAAAGTCAGTACAAAGAAGAATTGATCGATAGATTTGGCGAATCATCTCAAAAGTCAGCCAAATTTAGGGCTGGTTGCCCGGATGCGAGATGAAAGCACCGAATATGTACTGTAGCCACATTCACATTAGTACGTGATATCCCTTCCTGCATCTCTCGACACCTCTTCCACCCGACGAACCGGGTGGAAGAGGTACACCCGTCGGAGTTATAGCTCAGATTTATACGGATAACCCATTGCTAGGACGTTAGTACTGTGTTGTGATTGGAAAAAGTCGGACCGACCATCCGACCCAAATCTGATTGGCTTAAATTCGCAAGAATTGTGGACGTTTTCAGCACTTGAGAACTGGTTCACACATTTCGAGTTGGACATTAGGATATTCCCGCATATGCACCAAACGTGAAATGGTGCGCTGAATCAAGGTTACATTGGAACCGAAGTGTGATTCGCAACATTGAAGGTGCAGAGCTCAAAAATGTGCACACGGCGAGTAGTATTTGAAAAAGAAACATATTGAAAATTTATTATTCACGTCGACTTAGCGGAATGAGATTAAACATGGCTACGCTTTCTAGGAAACATCACCATATTCACTTGAGACAACCTAAGCTGGCAACCTTGTCCCGTGAGACCCCAAGAGGATGAAAGGCTCTCAGTGATTGTGGTAAAAGCAGCAATGACGGAGGATGAGATATACGGGCGGCTCAATAGCCCCCCAGTCGCACTGCGGTAGATATCATGGAGTCCTTTAACAGCAAATTTTCACTCACAATATATCTTGCCTTGTTTCTTTATCAAATCTTGTGCGTCGATCTTGTGCAGACGAGGAATGTTGCGGGCTGGAGAACCACACTACCAATAATGCCAAGCGGTTGCGACATCAACCGAGGTCAACTCGAAGTCCACTGATAGGAAGTGCCATCTTCTGCCCGAAAAGTGGACCGGGCGGACTGGAGCATTGTCGTCCACAGCAGTGGTGACAACAGCACGACTGCTTGTGCCAGCAACCCTTGCGACGGCGTTGTTGAGAAGTCACTTGAGGAGTGAATGTGTGATGTTGCCCGATGTGATACCCTTTTCGTCAAGAATGCCCTCGATGACAGTTCGGATTTCTCCTGGAAGGTCACGTATAGCGGCCAAGTTTGCGGAGGGATTCCAGTTGATTGCATCATCGTGGAGGCAAGGGTAACCTTGGGGGGCAACCGCGTCGCCATCAATGGGTCCCCAAAAAGAACACTGGACAGCAAGGGGTGCTCCGATGGCAGAGCATTCTCGAGGAACGTCTTGTGGTAAATCAATGTTGCCAGACAGCTCTTCAAGACTCCTCGTAGTTCTTCATGGCGCCACATTCGCGGAAATACCAGTTGGCCGGAGGCAGTCACGGCATCATCGCTGCCAGCAATGAAGTGAGGAGGCAGCACCGCAAAGTCACCACTGCCCAGAGGAAGTCCAGCCACAACGAGCCCATCGTAATGCACGTACCGCTCAACCACGCTGCCGATTGACCAGCCACACCTGATGCAAACGTTGATGATTGAAGGCACCGACGTACTGCCAGCAATAGCGTAAGTAGCAGCTCCTTTTCTCAAGGAGTGGGTTCCAATCGTGTTGATTGACGTAGGCAGAGAAGAACCAACGAGCTGACAGAGGCTACGACCAAAGCGGTCACGCTGCGACGGTCCGGAAAACAAATTTCCCGAATCGTGGGAAGGATTACAGGCGAGGTATATTCCCAACGCTAAAATAGGGCATGTTTGTGGCTGAAAAGGATTGGCATAAACGTGCTTGGGGTCGCGACGCTTCGTTACACCTTGGTCAGTTTTGGACTTGAAGAATGTGACTCCAAAGGGGTCACCCTCGTCGCTAAGGTGATCGATGCGAACAGTCTCAGTTGGACGTGAACGACACATTAGGTTCCACGAAAGTACAACAAACAAGTGAGTGAAACATCAAGCTTGCTGAGGCTTGACGCGCAAAGCGCTTGGTACTGGTGAAAACGTGAAAACGAAGCGGCTGCTTTCCAGACGTCTTTATTGTGCCTGCCTGCGTCTCTGTTGCGCATAGCCTTCTTATTCCTATGGATATTGTGTTGGAGTCTGACAAAATGGGGTCATACCTGGATAGATGGCGGTCGCATCAGAGACAAATCCACTTGGGAGCGCCACTTTTTGCCTGCTGTAGTAGTCTTTGATGGCCGATCTGTAGCCTGACAATGTTGACAAGGATACACCATCGTTCTTGTACTTGTGCAGTACAAACTCTGTGAAGTCTTCATAAGTGAAGACGTCAAGGTTGATAATTCCGTCTGGGTTTATTGAACCGGTTTGAACTGCTGCACACAGCCACGCAACAATCTGCCGCAGTCCACTGCGGTAGCCCTTCTTGTAGCCATCGGATAAACGATTATCTCGTAGGTCTTGCACCGTTGTTGCCTGCTGTCGTGTCGAGATGACGTTACGCGATTCATCATCTGCCATGGTCCAGGCAGTTTTTGCCAATCACGTTCAACAGGACACGTGGTCCGACTCTTTCATGCAAAAAAAGTCTCGACATATTTGACTTGAATGCTGTATTCAGAGAACATCGAACGAAAGAAAAAGTCGGATCCCTCGTCCGACGAGCACTTGATTTTAGTATATTCCATCCGACCTTTTTCTGCTAATGTATAATACTTCTACCCTAGGACTTTTTTGCTTCAATACGTATATCCATCAGATTTATGCTATCCGGATTCATAGTAATATCGAAATTAATAATCCAAAGGAATATTTGGTATAGTAAAATGAAGTTCCTTCACATAATATACATAAAATTACCATTTTATTGAACTCCATGCGCAATGTACACGTGGCGGAGCAACGACCACGAAAGGCGACGGCGGCATCAGTGAACTGGGCATTTGTACGATAACCCCTGTCGATGGTTAATTGGACCTCTAAACGCCACCGACTTTCGCAGTCTACGTCAAATGGCTGATGTGTTCACCCTGCTAACACCGCCGCCACAGATTTATCATTGGGACTCCAATAAATCTCACATTTATCCGTACATTATTCGAATAAATCTCATTCGATAAATCCCACGGGTGGAGTTGCTCTCAGAGTCCTCGTCACAGTTTGCTCATGGCATGAGAATACGCATGCTGTGATAGTTGATAAGCTCAAGGATTTGCCCTCTTTTTGTGACGAGTGAGATAATTTGCGGCTTGAACTTCGGCATACGCATTGACATAATAGATTTCTACTGTAACGTTTGATTGAATGTGATGTGATAGCCGTCACGTGGGATTCATTTGGTGCCACACCCGTAGCAGCTACCAGTACAGTACTGTAGTCAGAGTGCGGCGGCCTATGTGTGTGTAAATCGGAATAAATCCGATGGGTGGGGAAATTGAGATTTATCCCTGGGACTCCAATAAATCTCGCTGTTATCCGTACATTATCCGAATAAATCTCATTCGATAAATCCCACCCGTAGCAACAGAAGCATCCGTTTGCCGACATTGGTTTAACGTTAACGTTAGCGGAAATTGGTCGCGTGGACTAACGTGCGCCATGCGTTGCGCCAACTGTTAATGTTACGTCACGAATGGCAATTGTGGGTATTCACACAAAATGCCATTTCGAAAAAAGAACCCTTGACTATACTTTTTTAAACTATACTTTTTTAAATGTCATTTGAGGCCGAAATGTCAATAGAAAAGATTTCTCCCTGAAGCGTCAAGTGATTTTCACGAAATGGCATTTTGCGCCAAAATGGAGTTTTTTGGGTCCGAAATGACAAAATCCATCCCAAAATGGCATAATGCGGATGCTGACTGATATCAGACTTAGGTCATGTTGGGGCAAAATCACTGACGCATTTTACCATCCTGCAGCGCAGGTCGTTCAAACGCCTTGGTGTACTACTAGTACAGTGTAGTGATGTGAAGCGCCTTCATGCCCTCTAGCCCCTACAGTAGCGTTCACAGCCAATATGAATCATATTTTGTTACTATTAATATTAATTAACACAGCAGTATGAATCATACTAACGTTACGTATTATTTATATGGATTTCAAATATCCATGATAGTATCATGTGTCATCCAAACGTCATCCCAACGTCATCCACCATTAATATTAGGTCATATCGTAATTAGAATATATGAGAGTAAATTAGGATAATGCTAGATCATTGCATACAGGCCTCGTCACGGCCTACGGCCTACCTGCCGCTGCCCGACAAGAAGAAAAGATAGATCATTCGGTGAAGTGAGAAGCTTAGATCCGCGCTCTCGTACGGCCGCGCTTGCGCAGACGGCCTCCCGGGCGCTCGGGGCCAACGTAAGGCTTGGTCACTGCTTTAGGTTTCATCCCACAACTTCATCCAATTTCATCCCATGTCATCCACATGTCATTCACGCATTTAATTCAACAATTATATTACAGTGATCCCCCGATTTTTGCAGCCTGGTATAAACTAATATCCCATGTAAAGCTATACAATATTAAGGTCAAGAGGGATTAATACAATTTGAAGTGCAATCACACAATGCCAGCACCTGCCAAGCGACTGACGCTCATTCAAAAAGACAGAGCATATTACAGCTTCTCTTCCGACGGCACGTTATCGATTACATGTACGTGGATCACACAGGAGGTCGGCATCATCGTGCATCCCACCACTGTTGGTCGCCTTGTTCGGGACGATCGCACCAGCTCAGCAGCAAACATTGATGCAGACGTCACTCCGTCACGCTGCAACATCAACTGAGCTTGACACTGAGTTGGCGGCTTGGGTACAAAATTCTCTCTGTAAGTTGCGTACCGTTATTGGCGATCCTATGGCATTCGATGTACTTTTGAGTTACTCCTCAAGTACTTGTTTATATCATTATATACCGGGTATAACAAAACGTGGAGGTTAAATGCTCCTCTGAAACTAACAGGCTCTAATTGTAGTCGACAGCCCTGAGGGGGCCTTTGACCATAACTTTTGCTGCACGAACGCAGTATAAAAAAGTGAAAAGCAAAAATGTAGCGCTGCGAATAAGCTAAAAATGTGTCAAGAATATAGACCTTTAAACCTTATGCACCCACAGATACGATGCTTGGAATTTCAAAAACCTGTCTAATTTCAACCTATTACCTAATATACTCTGACATGTAATACAAACTGTGACTATACAGGCGAAAAGTTCACCCATTACACACGCACACTGGCTCTGATTCTCGACACCAGCCTCACAAACCAACCATGCCTAGTGAGCCGACCCAACCAAGTGACGTAGACCGCGCCATTGCGTTCGTGAAGCGCTCACGGTCAAGCAAGATACGTGACACAAAACGAGATCCTCGACATGGTCATAGTCAACGCCACTCTGCGCCAAGACGATGCAACCGCGTCCACGAGCACCGCCGCCCGACTCTTGCGCCGCAAGCCACAGCTGGTCCAATAAGTGTGGAAAGAGTTCGTCGAAAAGGGCTCCACCACGACCAAGCCCCAAGCCCAGCCCCCCGCGACATGTCTCTCCGAACAAGACTTCCCGTCACGTCGAACCTGGCCAAGATCATTCAAGACTTCGTTCGCCAGCGGCGCCAAGGACGATATCGGACAGTGGCGAAGGACGTCGCCCACTTCCTGCGGTCCCAAAACCTCTTGGAATTCGATATTGAGTCGCAATCGTCAACGCAAGCAGCCTACCGGTCAACCCAGAGGGTCCTGGCAAAACTTGGGTACAAGAGGGGAAAGAAGAAGCGAGGTCTAGGCCTTCGTATGTGCGAAGCTAATATTCAGCATCGTGATATGATTGTTTCTGATATGTGTGATATATTGTCGGGCGATGTCAACCGACGGCCTGTTATATATATGGATGAGAGTTATATTCATCACCATTATAGTCGGCATGATGATTCATTATATGATCCGAGTGATGACCTTGATCTTGAAGTCAAAGAAAAACACAAAGGTGAAAGATTTTGTTTTATTGCTGCCATTTTAGATAGTGGTTGTTTGGATAGCAAGCTCTTATGCTTGGATGTATTTCAAGGTGGAAAACGAACTGGTAAACCTGAAACCAAGGATTATCACGGAATGTTCGACCATGCATATTTTGTCAGTTGGTTTTCCAAACTTCTTGTCGAAATAGAAGATCTTGGGTTACAAAATGCTGTTATAGTAATGGACAATGCAAAATACAATAAAGGGCTTCCTCCGGATACACCGAAGTATGGAAATAAGAAGAGTGTCCTACAGGATGCTTGCACGGCGTACGGCATTTCTTTCACAAATGAAACGAAAGCTGCATTGTGGAAAAAGCTAAGTGTGCATGTGAGCAAGATTGACATCGAGGTTGTATCCTTTGCACGTGCCGCAGGGCATGAGGTTGTTTACACACCGCCTTACCACAGTGACCTTCAACCAATCGAGATTGTTTGCGCCATCGTAAAGTGCCAAGTACAGTGATCTTTACTATGCATATATATGCTAATGTTGTGCAGGTTGGACGTCAGTACACACAAGACACCACGTTTAAAGACGTCCGCGTGCGGCTCATGAAGGCATTCGAGGACTTGGCTCCAAGCAGCATCAAGGACTGCATACACAAGGCCGACAGGCAACTCAACAAGCTTGCGGCGTACATCAAAGAGCAACACGAAGGCGATGCGAGTGATAGCGACAGCGACCGCAACGATGGTACCAACGGCGGCAGCAGCGACGGCAGCGACAGCAGCAGCAGCAGTAACGACTCAAGTAGTTCAGAAACAGTGATGTAATACATTTACTCTCTTTTCATTGGTCGAACGTTAACATGCAGCCGAGGCGTTGGAAATTCAAAAGAACTCTGTGTATTGATATTTTTTTGGCAGGCCCCCTCGAAGCTGTCCACTACTGTAACATAGCGTGGCCAAATAACCTATAATTGCCTTATTTAGTCAGGTATTAAGCCGAGGAACGGGTAGGAAAACCTCCTAATATGCATAACCCTTGGCGCTGATACCTCTATCTTATTATATTCCGACCAGGCCGCAAAAATCGGGGGATCACTGTATATTAATCATAGTATCCAAGGTTGGTATTACTATTCAATGGTGTCCCGTAAGTTTCAAGTGCTAGTACGTCGTAGTACTACACCACTTCCCGTTCAAGTTGAAATGAATTTCCAGTCAATGTGAAATGCAGAAATATTATAAGATTTCACAAGTGCAGTTTCACATCATCAACATATACTTCAGACGCGACACTAAACCGACAATTTTTGGTGCGATGATTGGACAACCGACAATACAAACTATTTTTATTGGTCCCTAGATCTTGTCGTGCTACCATTGGACGAGCAATTTGTCGGTGCAGATACATATCGTTAACATTTAACATGTACATGCCATGATTGGTCAAATTTCGTTTTACCTGTCGTTTCAACTGACCTGTTCAGATTCCAAAAAGATGGAGAGAACACCGACGAAGCAGACCATTCAAGACTCTTACCACGGTGCGTCCACCCGGAGTACATACTCAACGTACCAGCGCCAGTTCGAGGCGTTCTGTGCGCATCACAAGAACGGCCTGAACCCCAACGCTGCCACGCCGGAGGACTGCACGGACTTCCTGCATCCTTTATACAGCATGGGAAGAAAATCCCGCACTGTTGACTCGGCAAAAACTGCGCTGGTATCGTTCTTCAAAGAGAGCTCCATCTCCCCAAACCCAGCACAGGACATGCATGCGAAGCGCTATGTCATTGGGTTACAGAAGTACAACCGGCAGAGCAACGTCGACGACGAGAAAAAGGCGCACCCATTGACTGTCCACGAGCTGTCCACATTGATCAACTTGTTTGCCAACCACAATCCTTTTGTTGCTTCCATGTTCCAGCTTCTCCTTTGCTGCTGTTTTATTGGCTGATTCCGAATTGGAGAAGTCCTGGCGTTGAAGTGGCATGATGTCGCCTTGCGCCAGGATGAATCTGGTCGATACGTGTCGATCAGGCTGCGATGGCACAAGAAAGCAAGTGTGGAAAAGGAGTGTCAAGTATACCACTTGGTCGACGAAGCGTCTTACCCATGTCTCCGAATTTGCACGCTGTATGAAGGCTACCTCGACAAAGTCCGCCAGACGCAAGTCAACGTGTCTCAAGAGGCGTGCGTGTTTCCATCTTTGTCCAACCAGTATGACAGTGTTCGTGTGGACTGGTTCAAGCCTCTGGATCAAAACTACGTCCGACGCCTTCTCCAAGACTTGGTTCATGCGTCACCAAGCCTCCCGATTGGAATATCATTACACAGCATGCGGAGAGGTGGCTGCTTTTACAGAGTGTTTGAGTCCCCGGAGCGGAAATTCAACTTCCGTGAGTTAATGGCATGGTGCCGTTGGACGGACGCGAAGACTGCTGTGAGTACTTGGTGACAAGGAGCATCAGCGATGGCATTGACCCACGAAACCTGTTACGGAAGGTGAATAGTACTGGACATGGTGTCGTGCATGCCGGTATTGGCACTAGTGGGCTGACGTTTGACAGCATTGTGGAGGCTGTGCAGAAAGGCATGGGCATTGAGCAGCCGAAACCTGTGCTGCCACCTGCTCGACAGCGACAACTGTCACTTCGTGAGTGCGTGGTGACCAAGAGCATTCCAACGGCACGATCTGCAAGAGACGCTTGGGATCAATGGTTTACTGCCTGCCCCAAGAGCGGTTTGTTTTGCGCTATCAAGGACTTTACAAAGGACATGATCAAGTGCGATCGGCGAAAGTACTCGGAAAGGCAGACTTTGGGTGCTGCCTTCTCAAAGTTCCAGAGTTTTGATCTATTTGAAGCTGCGTTTGTTGGTTATACGGGTAACTATTCTAGCTTGTTAAAAGAAGTGCGAAAGAGGAAACGAGAACGTAATTTGTAATTCATTCAAATAATAGTTGGTCTTCCAGAGAATTGAACTGGGGACGTATTGCAATGACCGGTACCCTTAGTTGTCTAGGATTCATGCCCAATAGGGAAACCTGGCGGACCAATGTAAGTAGAGGGAGTATCCCCTCTACTTCTTGGATAAGGTTAGTAATCAATATTTCTTTTTGTAGAATTGACCAATCAAATCATTGTCGGTTGGATTTGTCGCGTTTGCCATTTTATCTACACATGAAAAATGTTCACTTCAAAATGAAACGTTAAACTTACTTCAACTATAGTATAGTAACCATAAGGTGATGAATTATACTACCCTTCAGTATACAATAGTGATTCAATCATCATGTCTACCCTCCCTCACCCATCTTCCTCCTTTATCCAAATCATACACCAGAATATATATGAAACAAAGTACTACCTTTGTCTGAAAGTAGTTTCAACATTTGAGATTGTTGAATTCCGAAAATGGTTGCAACAAATATCGCGAGTAATTCACCTGCAATATGTTGAATAATATTTCAACGATTGCAATTTGGTATTCGAATTGCTCATTTGAATGTTGTATTCTAAATCTAAAGGAATCACACATGGGTGAGGATAATGTGAAAATATTGGACAAAATGTACGATTTTACGGATAAACCGGTTAAGAGTGGAACCTAATTCCGGATAGAATCGTTACATCCAAAGTATAAAGGATAAAGTATCAAACTTGGCCGCACTCCGGATAAATCGGTTACATCGTGGATATCTTGGATAAAGTAATAAACTTGGATTCTTGATTCACTCTTTCGATTGGGGGTACTCTGGGACGGTATTAGTTTATTCGTATTCACCTTGAACTCCTCTATCAAAGCATACCTCTAGTTTTCGATATTGCGTTAATCTTGACTCTCATTATTAAATTACTCTGAATGTTGCAACTACTTCCGGACAGAGGTAGTATGTTTCAAGTTGAATGTTAGAGAATTCATGTTGATTTGAAAATCGTCGTGTTTCGAACGTGTTCATTTCACATTGACTGGAAATTCATTTCAACTTGAACGGGAAGTGGTGTAGTATCCTGTTACCGGTAAGCGAGTTAAATCAAAGGAATGGGAATATTGTCGATTTTCTTCAAATTTCCCAATTTTGCATGGTTCATTCTGAGAAGCACCCTCGAAGCTGTCGCGCACTGTCAATCGAGCACAAATCGAGCCGAGATATCTGATTGACCAATATCCTCTTCGCCCACTTCCAGTAGAAACTCGAAAATGGACCCTTACAGTTAGCTCAGTACAACTAGTATAAAACAGATGCTGGCCACTTGTGTGAAACGCTAACATGTACTTCGTACTACGTAGTATTAAGGGCCTGGTCGGGGAAGAATTTACTTCATGTCCGAGGTGGTTCATTTCTGTACGGATAATCAATATTCGGATGTCGCCTGGTTTTCTGGTTGGTGTGAACACAATCGTTCGTGTCTGTGATCTCCTGGTACAGTCCAATGCAGACTGAACAGGTCGCTGTTGTTGCTGCAGCATATACGATATCCTTCGTGTGCGTTGTTGTCGCTACCATGCTGGGTCGTGCGGACAAGTACAATGACTTCACTATAACAACTGTCGACTTTGACTCTATGCTCGGCAAGCCACAGTTCAATCAGTGGTTCGAGACCAACCTCCGTTGTAGCCAAGCTACCTTTACTCAGCTTGTGTCATGGTTTCGCGCTGTTCAGCCCGATATGTGCCATCGTACGACGCCCCACTCATTCGAAAAAAAGGTTGCTGTTTTGCTCTACTTTCTTGGTTCCGAGGGTGGATACAGCGAAACCGGTGCTGCGTTCGG